TTTAATAATATGATTATTTAATTTGATTAAATAAAATCTTTCCTATCTGCCTTATACTAATAGGATATAAGAGTATGCCTATAAACCTCATAATATTGTAATGATTTTGTTTTAACCATATCATTTGCTGATATTATCAGTTACATCCAATTTCTCTCCTATTTAATTAAGTCAACAATTTACTAGAGGCTTCTCGAAGAAAAGCGGATAAATGTTCACCAACAATATACTAGTAATGCAAAAAGGAACAAAAGCATTTAATGGGTATAATGAATATGAAGTTTCATCCAGCAATGCATAAGTAAGACTAAGAGTTAGCGGAAAAAAGTGAGAGTTTTAAATAAAATATAAATTATGGAATATTTTCCGTTTCAGCTGAAAACAATAAAGGATTTATATTTCCAATCCCACCACTAACTTTTCTTCAAGAAGCCTAGGAAATTGTTGACTGATTTAAAGAGAAATTGAATATAACTGATGATATTAGCAAGTGATGACATCGTATTACAAGATTTATAGGCATAGTAACTGTTAAACGGCTCATTACAAGATTTATAAAATAAAATAAGATAATTCTAAAGAAAACTATATTTTCATTAATTTACCAGATAACTCCTATATTTAAAATTACATATATTGGTCTCGAAGTTAAGAGGAAGCATATGAAAGAATCCATAGACCATCAACTATCGATGGAGAAAAGAAATCCCAGCATCGCCGTGGTTCCATGTCTAGGCTTCGACCATCTAATCCCACTCATAGAGCTTGCAAAACGACTTGTCATTCATCTTCCTCATGTCCATGTCAATCTCTTCATCCCAACCCTTGGCCCTCCCTCCACAACCACCTATTCCATCCTTCAATCACTTCCTCCCCACATAGATTACACTATTCTTCCACAAGTGAATCAAAACGACATCCCTCATACTGCCATCCATCCAGCTACACAAATGCATCATACCGTCATGCTATCTCTTTGTTCACTTCATGATGCTTTGAGCTCATTAAAATCTCAAACTCGAATTGTTGCTATGATTGCCGATTTCTTCCCAATGGATATATTACAAATTGTGAATCAGTTCAACCTCAAATCATATATTTACTATTTTGGAGGAGCTAGGACATTGTGTTTCTACCTTAATTTTCCCCAACTTGACAACGATCACGACACTGTTTCCACAGGTTTTCAAGAACTATCACAACCTTTGAAACTCCCAGGTTATAAAGCTCTCTCTTCTTCTTTAATGGAACTAATTAATAGCTTTATTAGAGATTTTTTTAAAGCCTGAAATCTATCAGAAGTTAACTGATGGGACTTCTTTTCAGGTTGCATAGCTTTTCATGGAAAGGATCTTCCTGACACAGTTCAGGAAAGATCAAGTGAATCTTACAAAACAGTTCTCCACATATGTAAACGGTTTGATTTTGCTAATGGGATCATAGTGAATAGCTTCCAAGAATTGGAGCGAGAGGTAATAACGGCTCTACAAGAAAGTAATATTAAACTCCCACCTGTTTATCCATTGGGCCCTATTTTGCGAATCGAAGTAACTAAGCAAAACGAGTCAGACTCGAAGTGTTTAACATGGTTGGACAATCAACCATGAAACTCAGTTCTATACGCCTCTTTTGGAAGTGGTGGAACACTGTCAGTTAAACAACTTCACGAACTTGCTTTAGGGTTGGAGATGAGTGGCCACAAGTTCTTGTGGGTAGTGAGAGCTCCAAGCGAGTCTGTTTCTTTGGATTATTTAACTGTAAAAAAGGAGGGCCCGCTTGATTATTTGCCAAAATGGTTTATTGAAAGAACCAAAGATCAAGGGCTTGTGGTCCCATCATGGACCCCACAGATCCAAGTCTTGAGACATGAGTCCACTGGTGGGTTTTTGACTCAGTGGTTGGAACTCCACCCCTGAAAGTATATTCTATAGGAAGCCAAAGATTGCATGGCCACTATCTGCAGAGTAAAGAATGAACGTTGTATTTATAACTGAGGAGTTGGAGATTGCTTTAAGGCCAAAAGAGAATGAAAATAATAATGGAATTGTGGAGTAAGAGGAAGTTTGTAAAATTGTGAAGAGACTAATGGAAGGTGAGGAAGGGAAAGAAATGGGCAGAAGAATTCAGGTTCACAAGGATGCTGCTGTTAAAGCTCTTAGTGAAGATGGTTCCTCTGCTAAGACCCTCGTTTTCCTATCTCTTAAATGGAAAAGTTAGGAGTGGCAAGTGGAAAAATACGAGCCTGGAATGATTTTAATGATCACTTTGAGCAGTACGAGGTTTCTGTTTTATCTTTTACTGCATCTTTTTTCTGGAAATATTCATATAAAGTCAAGAGTTATGTCAACTTGGCCAGACGGAAATGATTTAATTCGAATGATCATAGCCCCTTATCTTGGATGTATGGGTGGTATTGCTATATATGTACTAAATGCCATAGCCTCTTATCTTGGAATAAAAAGGGACTATATATTAAATTCTTAATTTTCTTCTATTACTTACTGATGATCGAGCTTCATTAAAATCCATTCCCACTCCTTCCTTCTCTTCCATGTAATCTTTTCGCCTTTAAATTCGTTGAACAAAATTTATCTTACAAGCCATCGCAATGGTGGTTTTTGGACATGGAAGCTTTGTTTTTTTTTTTTTATGGGTTAATATAAATTTTGGTTCTTCAAGTTCTCATGAACTGTGGCTTTAGTCCATCAAGTTTCAAATTATAGGTTTTGGTCCTTTAAAAGGTAAAATGGTCCAAGTCTTTACTAAATTATATGGATAAATGTTTAAAATAAAAAGAAACTTGAGTGACCAAAATTTATGATTTAAAACTTAAGAGACCAAAATCAAAATGAGGACAAACTTATGGAACCAAAAATTATATTAACTCTTTTTTTTTCCTATCCTCTTCTGCAGCTTAAATTTGTCACACTTCTCTAATGTTTTTTTTTTCCCCTTCTTATTTTGTTATGATCAAATTCTACATAAAAAGAATGAAATTTTGATATCTTTTGGGAAAAGAATAGTATCATCAGTTTTATTTTTTTTTTTCAAAGTAAAAATACTCCAAAGATTGGTGACGTGTTCCTTTTAATTTAGATGCAAATTCCTTGGACCATGAAAAAAATCGAAAAATGCTTCAATTTTTGCTCATCAGATATCAAATTTTCTCTTATTTTACATAGAATCTAATAATAAAAAGAAATTTAAAAAAATATGGAAAGGAGGAGAAAATTGAGGAGCAGCAGACACCCCAAACCGGTGGATTTTGATGTGTTTATGGTCATCTGCCCCCACCATCGATGGCGACGTGATGGTTCACGGTGGCTGCGCATATCGCATAATTCATCAGTACCCGTCAAAGCAATTAGACAAAATAAAGCGAAACAAAACAAGAAACAAAGAATGGAAGAAAGTAATGAAGGGTCCAATAATGCTACAATTGGAGGCATTCTGCTGATAAAGTAGAGATGCTTGTATATTTGTCATTTATTAATCGGGAAGGAATATCTATCATATCTTCACTTGTTGCAATATTATATTGGTCAAGTAATAAGGAACAACTCCCGGCTCACGAGCTTCACATATCGGGAAAGCTCGAAGTCCATAGTACTGATATGATATTAATTAATATGATTTTGATGGCCTTTCACAAACCGACATAACAATCAACATCAACTAGCAATTTTTACATTGAAATACTCTTACTAATTAAGCAAGCTTAGAAGAATACTAATTGAGATAGTTAATAGTACCTCTTCTTAATATAATATATATTTAACTAATTTATGTAGATTAAATAAAGTAGTTAAATTAGTTATTTATCAAAAATATGTGTTAGTTTTCTTAAAAAAATACCCTCTCAAATCATTTGGATTGAAACTATCCTTTGATTCAAACTCCCTTAACATGTATGCAATCAATAGACTTAGTTTAGATAAATAAGGGAAGACAAAATGGATTGGGATCTTATATTTAAAACCAAATTTAATTCCCTATTAGCTCTTATATTAAGGACAAATATAATAATAAAAACTAGGGTTAATATAATCTTTGGTCCCTCAAATTTGTTCTCATTTTGGTTTTAGTCCATCAAATTTCAAACCATAGGTTTTGGTCCTTCAAGAGATAAAATGGTCCAAGTCTTTATTGGATTATGGAGACTAATGTTTTAAATGAAAAGAAATTTAAGGGGCCAAAACTTACTATTTGAAACTTCAAAGACCAAAATCAAAATGAGGATAAACTTGAAAAACTAAATTTTGTATTAACCCTAAAAGCTATATTTACAACAATTTCCCAGTTGAACCATATGTGTAAAGGTGTATATAATGTAGAGTCTCAAAGTTAAAAAGAAGCACTCTGTGATGAAGCAACCAGCTGATTATCGATCTTCCATGGAGAAAAGAAGTCCTTGCATTGCCATGGTTCCATCCCTAGGTTTGGGCCGTCTAATCCCACTCGTACAGCTTGCAAAATGACTTGTCGTTCACCTTGCTCGCTTCCATGTCACTCTCTTCATCCCAACACTTGGGCCTCCCTCCAAAACTATGTATTCCATCCTTCAATCTCTCCCTCCTCATATAGATTTCACTATTCTTCCACAAGTGAATAAAATGACATCCCTGAAAGTGCCGTCCATCCAACAACACAAATCCATCATACCATGATGCTGTCTCTTCCATCACTTTAAGATGTTTTGAGCTCTTTGAATTCTTGAACTCACCTTGTTGCTATGATCACAGATTTGCTGTCAGTGGATGCGTTAGAAATTTCCAAGCAATTCAACCTCAAGTCACATGTTTACTATGCTTCGAGAGCAACTTCATTGTGTCTCTGCTCAATTTCCCCAACATGACCAAGATCACAAAAAGGTTTCTACGGGCTTCCGAGAGCTATCACAACCTTTGAAACTCCCAAGTCACAAAGCTTTCTTTTTCTTTCCTGCTTTAATTAAACTAAATAACTATCAAAAATTAACTCATGGAACTTCATTTCTACAGGTTGCATAGCCTTTCATGGCAAGGATCTCCCTGACATAGTTCAAGAAAGATCAAGTGAATCCTACAAAACAATTCTTCACATTTGTAAACGATTCAATTTTGTAGATGGTATCATAGTGAATAGCTTCTTAGAACTAGAATGAGAGGTAATAACCATTCTGCAAGAAAATTATAATCATAAATACCCTACAGTTTATCCTTTGGGGCCCATTTTATAGATAGAATTGGCAACCACAAATGTGTTAACCACAGATTGCTTAACATGGTTAAACAATCAGCCACAAAACTTAGTTCTATATGTTTCTTTTGGGAGTGTTGGAACACTGTCACATGACCAACTTCACCAACTCGCCTTAGGATTAGAGATGAGTGGGCACAAGTTCTTGTGCGTTGTGAGAGCACCAAGTGAGTTTGCTTCTTCAGTTTATTTTGAGGGCAAAATAGGAGGACCCACTTGATTACTTGCCAAAAGGTTTTATTCAAAGAACCAAGGATCAAGGTTTTGTGGTCCCATCATGGGCCCCACAAATCCAAGTCTTGAGACACAAGTCTGTTGGTGGGTTTTTGACTCAGGTTGGAACTGCATGCTTAACGGTGTTTTCTATGGCAAGCCCATGATTGCACGGCCACTATTTGCAGAGCAGAAAATGAACGCATTGTTGTTAGCCGAAGAATTGAAGATTGCTGTGAGGCCAAAGGAGAATGAAAATAATGGTGGTGGTGGTGGTGGTGGTGTCTAGAATTGTGAAGTGTGTGATGGAAGGTGATGAAGGTAAAGAAATGGATGCTGCTGTTAAAGCAATGGGAGAAGATGGTTCTTCTAAGAGGATGCTCAACAGTTTAGCGTTCGAAATTTTGAATTGAATAATCTTAATTAGTAGCAAAAGTAGAAAAATGTAAGTCTTTAATTTTAATGTATTTTATTGTTAATTACATATTTTTGCTTAGTGGCGTAAAGATAAGGCTTTCTCATATAAGTAAGACTTGTGTCAGTCTCCAACAAAGTTGTAAGATTATATATACATTGCCCCCAGAGCTACTTAACTAATTTGAGTAGATTAAAAAAATTAGTTAAGTTAGTTATTTGTAACAAATATAAGTTAATTTTTCTAAACTGCACTTTTAATCATGACTACCTTGGGATGAAAATCCCTTGACATGTGTATTTAATAAGGATACTTTAGAGAATAAATTACAAATTTGGAAAATGAAGTATATTAAGATAAAACCAAATCTAATCTCCAAGCAACGATTATATTAAGTATCGAGGGTAGCATGTGTATATGTGTATGGTCCCCAGGCACCCTTCGCATAAGCATGCGCACATAATTTCTTTATTCTACATTCAAAATCAAAAGAACACATGTTTGAGCACTGTTACAGTTGAGGTAAAATTAAAGAGATTAATATTAAAAAAATTTAAAAATAATCTGAGTAATAGGTGGTAGCCTCCTTGGTTGATTAGCATAAAGAATCCATCAAATTTGCAATATTTTAAACCATAAGTCAGTTTGATTATAAATGTTTTTCGTGGATTGTCATCTTATTCAAACATTCATGCGCAAGTATATTTTTCATCCTATCAAATTCGAACAGAGCTTGTCATAAACTGTGCGCGTGCCAACAGTATTTCATTTTTCTTCATCCAAGAACATACGCTTGAGGAAATTCAAGCATTTGATGATTTCAAATTAAAGAGATCCATTGTTTAGATGTTAAAGAGATCTATAATTAAAACTTATACTTTAATGTGTGTGTATGTCTATGTATGACATTTAATAAATTCACCACAAAATTAAACAAAGTTATATTTGAAATTTTCAATTTTGATTTTTAAATATGTATAATCACTTTTAAATTTTAAATTATATAATATACATAAAAATTTTAAAATTATAATTCTTAAATAATGTTTAGAGTTAAGTTGGATTTCTACTTCTATATTATTTTTAAGCGAAATGGTCAGCTTCAGTTTTTTCCCCCCATTAGTGAATAAAAAAATTATACATAAGGCCCTAAAAGATTACATATAGTTGACTAATTAAAAAAATCATTAACAATTAAACTCAAACCGACTAGTATGCATCTATATCTACCACTCTGTGTGTAAGTCACTTGTAGGAGAAATGTTTATTCTTAAATAAGTCATTTGTTCGGTAATTAATCGCTTTTTTTTTTTCAATTTCACCTTTATTCGATACAATAAAAAACATGTGAGAGAAAATGTACAGCACATATTTTATACCCTATCTTTAATACGGAAAATGTGGAAAATTTTATCAATTTAATACATTCCGTTGTATGGGAGAATGGGGTACAAGTGACTTACATACTGCAACACCTAACTTTTTAATACTAATAGGGTCATTTTAACGTCTGTGAATCACAAACGCCAGGTTTCCGACCAAGGAAAAAACAGGGAAGTTTTTTTTTCCCCTTCAATATTAGAATCCGTCGATCAAACGTTTCAAACCTTTAGAATAACTGACGAGTGATCCACAATCAACCCTGCTTTCAACTTAATCTATTATTACCTAGAATGATTTCATACTGTGCAATCTCATAATATTATATTAAAAAATATAGCAACCATCTTGGTTGACAGCACATACTTGCATATGGCAGTGCTCTCCTCTTTATGAAATATACAAAATAATATTTACATAATGTAAGTAATGGTTACTTGCCCATATAAGATATATAATAGAATAAATAATAACTTATCAAGATATTTTGCTGCATAGGTACAGAATATAATAGGCATCTCTGCTCTTCAACCAGCTCACCTTCTTCTTAAATAACCTTCTTATCCTTTAAGCTACTAGCCTTCATTGTTCATCATAAATGGAAGGGTGAGATTCTAAAGAATTCCTGTAGTAGTAATTTTTATCAAACAAATGTGCAGATTACATAAAGCATGCAAAACAAGCCAAAGTGGAACATAACCTTGTAAGCTAATGTAGTTAAGCATTTATGCACATGACAAATAGACAAGCTGAATAAATAATACGCAAATAATTGGCTAATACTGCCCCATGTCTATCAGCTACATGTGATCACGGCTAAATAATCTATGCAAGGAAATAAGGATTACATGTTCTCATGCTTTAAACAGCAATATGGCACAAACAGATATGCAGCAATCATGCACAAGTGTAAGGTAGAAAAGAACTATTACCGGGTCTGCTTCCCTCCAAATAAAACCTTACCATTCTCCTTTGTTTCTGCTTCTTGGTAAGCTTGAGCATATATCAAGACCTATCATGTTTGTAAGGGTAGATCAATATTTGATCCAACTGTAATTCATAAATTCAATAACTCTCTTTAAATCCCAAATCTTCTTTAATCTCTACCCTTACATAACAGTTGGTCATCCTAGACCATTTTTCTTATTCAAACTATTCTCTTTGGAACACTTCCTTCCTTAATTATCTCAACCCATACAATTACTTTACTTAGTAACTGGTCATCTTGGTCAAATATAATATATATATATATATTATACACATATAATCACTCCAATTGATTTTATTTCATTTTTCCAAAATAATACTATAAGCTCTCTAAGCTTTTATTCACAACTAACTTAATACTTATTTAAATCCAAGCTAAGCAATTCAACCTCTATACATCCTTCAATCTCCTTAATTTTAAATTTACAGTCCTTAAACAACCATTCTCATAAATTCTATTAATTACAACTTTTATCCCATATTAATCATTGGCTGTGTCATTAAAAGTTTTCCTGATGTGTACCTTTGAAATAATTTATAAATATCATGGTTATTAATCTACCTGTTAAAAATTTCCAACCACCATTTGGAAACCTCAATCAAACCTCAAATCAACAATATGAAGTCCCTATTTAAATAACCTAAAATCATAACTAATTATAAACCATATTTTTAATCCCTTTATTCTCCTTCAATTTCATTCTTAATCTCTTTATAATTCAAACACCTAAACCAATATTACATCAACAATCCAAGCTTGTCACCCTATCTTGATCTCTCATTTTCTCTTTCCCATAAGCATCTAAATATTTCATTTGCTCATATTTATTCAAAACCAAACAGTGACTCTTTAGCTAATCAAACACCTAAACCAATATTACATCAACAATCCAAGCTTGTCATCCTATCTTGATCTCTCATTTTCTCTTTCCCATAAGCATCTAAATATTTCATTTGCTCATATTTATTCAAAACCAAACAGTGACTCTTTAGCTAATTAACTCACCCTTTCTTCCCTATTTAAATGTCATTCCATGAACCCATAACTCTATTCTTCTTTAATCTCCCTCGGTCTCAAATCCATTTCACCCATACCACCTCCTATTTCCACTATCTTACATGCTATACTCTCAAGTGTCATAACAGCTAACATCCACCGGTATATATATATATATATATATATATATATATATGTATATATATGTAAGTTTCAGTTTGTTCTTCCCTTTTTATTCGGCCACCGCCTAGCCTATAAATATATCAATAATAACTCCACGGTTACAACCTTTCCTCAATTACTTTCAGACCCAAAACACCTATACCCGTGGACACACACACATATATATAAAATCATGCCTAAACTTCCTCCCAAATAACCATTTCAATTTCAATGTTTTCCACTCCATAATTCTCACGGCTTTCCCATACACACACACACACACACTCCAAAATCTCTGTTCCGCCTAACCAAAAATTAAGCACTCACTCTTATGCAACAACAAATAATGCAACTACATGCTTCTACCTAAATAACACAGCGTCTCCACCAACAACCATAGTCTGTGTTTTTGACAGCAATAACAGAGGAAGAACAAAGCATATATAACTACCAAAAACATACTCCTATAACTAAGTGCCTGTTTGGCAGAGCTTATTTTAGACAATAAGCAGCTTATTTTGAGGAAAAGCTCGATTGAAAAATTTCATCCTGTTTGGCACAGCTTGTAAGGCATCGAGCTTGAGGGTCAAAAGCTATGGAAACGTACGATTGAAAATAAGCTCAGGAAGGGAGCTTATTTGAAGAAGCTTATGGACCGTTATTCTCTTTTTATTTTTCTCTCTGATAACCAAAAAATATCTCTGATGCTAAGACCCTAGGATGTCGTCAGAAATCTTCATTGTGCCACCATTGG